AATTTAGGTAATGCCGATAAATAAGGAACCTGACATAAGTAATTAAAAGCGTCCTTAAAATAGATTGATAAGTATTTCAAATTCAAAAAAATATTATCAAGAAATCGGAAAGCAGAAGATGAAAGAAGCAGAATAATTACTCTTTTTTATGATGGATAACTGATGATGATACAAATCTAAGCCGTGGGAAATCTATGCACAACGTTTAAAAGCTATAAAAGGGTAAAATAGTGATCACAATGTAAAAAGTCAAATATAGGATCAACACCAAGGGGCACGTACATAGACAAATAAATTGCATGCATGCATGGCTTGATCATACTCTTACAAACATCATTAAAAACATGAAAGCCCTAGCTATTTCCATGCATGGAACTGCAATATGAACCAAGACTCCAAATTAATTACCAAACTAACTCTCCTGGCACACAGGACTTTAAAAGGGAGAGGTGACCAAACTAAGAGTACACGATTACGTACGAACAATTCGAAAAATTAAGAACTTTACTGCTCCACTAATGGGGGTGGATGAGGGCGCGGCGCCGGCCATGATCGTTTAGGAGGAAAAGGAAACGGAGGGCGCGGTGGCCACGGTTGTTTAGGAGGAAAAGGAAACGAAGGGCGCGGCGGCCATGGTCTTTTAGGAGGAAAAGGAAACGGAGGACGAACTCATGGAGGCAAGTCCGGTTCCGCATAGCCACACATGCCACACAAGCAGCGCATACCATAAGGGCACCTGTTTCCACATCTCCCACAATTAAATGGGCTAATATTGGTATTACTGCAAAAACCACCACAGCATTGCCAACTAAACGGGCATCTGATTCCACACAACCCACAATTGTAAACATCGAAGCTGACGTCAACACAACGATCTCTACAGCACCGCCATCTTTGCCGAAACGGATCCGGCCATTTTTCCGGAAACTCTTCCTTCCTACGACATATCCAAGGCCGGCCCCGGCACCCTCGTGGCCTTGGTGGGCGTGGCCAGTTCGTTGTTACTTTTTTCAGCCACGGTGACGTGGATGCACCGGCAGCAGCAGTTGTGGTGGCATTGGAATAATGCCCTTGGATTGTGCTCACAAAAAGCGATAGCAATAGTAGAAGTGTGGAAACGATCACAAATTGAAGTTTGGAAACCAGCATCGTCTAGGGTTTTGAAGAGGGAGGGGACTTCATTGTGATATATATAAACGTAATTAACATATATATACACGTAATTAACACATGTACCTGTACGTTTTAATTTAATTAATTAATGTGATTAGTCAGTTATTTCTTGTTGTAGAATTAATTAAGGGCGGTCTTGTCTTAACAGAGATCATGCTTTTCTTACATGGTTTATGATTTGAGGATTTTTGTAGTCAGTTATGGACGGTGGATGCTGTTCATGTGGAGAGACAAACAATTTCGTGAGATATGAACGAGGTTTTCATTAGCTTGATGCATTTCTGGGGGCAACTCTATGATCAAATTCAAGTGATTAGAGTGGGTCAAATGGCGTGACAGAGAGCAAACTGGTAAGCTTCATTTTGCTTGCTAGCTGGCCTCATATATATCATATGTTAGAGACCTCATGCACATGAAGGTCCGATTACGTATATACTATGGAGCTTGAACGTAAACACTTTTGCACAACTTTTGGACGAATAGGGGGGAAATGCCCTCGAACATATATGAGATTTAGATGGGACTGAAAGAATTACAGAGGAAAAGTACAAAACAATGCTAAAATATGGAGGAGGAATATAAATAGATAACGCCGAGGGCTATATATAAGTAAGTCGTAGTTATACAAAATCTTAATTATCTAAGCTACTTATTAATAAAATCCTCTTTGTCAATTCGATCTTATATCACAAAATAAAATCATAAGCAGTAATGTAATTTTACACAAACTAAGTTTTGCTGATTTTTTCATCTTTCACCCACATATCATCATAGTATATCTCTAATTTTGAAAAATAAAATAAAAATATAAACCTCTCTCCACTCCAACGTTTCCTCTCACTCCCCCACATTTCTCTCCAACTTCTCTCTCTCCCATATATTTTCCAAAATAAAAAAAAAAAACTTATTTACACGCCAAATGTACGGGCTTAGGCTAGTAATAAGTTAACTAAACTCAATTGGGTTGGGCTCACATAAGTTAATACTCCCTCTCAAAATGGTGCATAAATATTACCAAAGTCCAACTTATCGAGTGAGTATGATAGACTTTGCTAAACACAATTTTGTAACAATATCTGCCAGTTGATCCTCACAGAGCAAACAGTGAACAAATTAATCTAGCTTCCAATTTCTTTTTTGATAAAATGTCTCTTTACTTTAACATGTTTAGGCCGATCAATCATGTTGAACTAAATTGTGAACAATGTAAATCGCAACCTTGTTACCACAATTCAACTGCGTAAGCTTTTGAGGTATAAATCCCAACTGAAAGTCAATTCCAAATCCATACAAATCGCAAATGTCACGTGCATACCTTAAAGCTCAGCCTCAATGCTTCATCTAGCAACAATCTTTTGTTTCTTGCTTCACTAGATAACAAGATTGCCTCCAAGTACAAATGTGAAATAACCTGAAGTTGAACACCTGTCAATGATTGAGCATGCCCAATCTGCATTCCTATATCCAAAAACATCAAAGTGAGCATGCTTTAAATACACAAGTCATTTACACGATGCGGACATCAAGTATCTCAAAAATCATCAATAACACTATTATGTTTAGTATTAGGAGTATGCATGAATTAACTAACCACTGTGGAGTAAAAAAAAAAATTCAAAAATTCAAAAAACGACATGTAGATCTTTTTCCGAAGAAGACAAGATTGCTCTCATTAAATAGACAGAACATACAAATATTCTCACGCGCAACTCAATATTTGGAGGCTCGAGCAACTGATTATGACTACACCAAGCTCCCCTACTAGTGTCATGGAAAAGTCAAAGACATTAAAGATATGATTAATCATCAAAACTATCTTTAATACATTCTTGGTTGAATATCAACTCAAACAAGTAAGGAATACTCACCACAATCAATGAGATTTACCAAATAATCCCAAGATACTATCTCATAATTAATATATTGGGATAATTCTTTCATGATCCATCTTACGGATGACACACCATGACCAGTGGTAAGCCACCATGTGTAGGCAAAATCCTAACCCTCCGGTCACCTCCCTATAAATACCTCATATGTTTTTGGTAAACTTTTGCTATGCAATAGAATCCCTAAACTCTTTCTCTTTTCAGAGAAACTGACTTAGGCATTGGAGATCCATTGGCCAAACCTCCCTCCCCCAACTTAGTGAACGTGTGAGGCTTTGACCTTGATCAAATGTGTTTATTATTTTGTAAATACAAATTTGTCAAAACTGAAGACAATTGATTTTTGCTACCACACTTACTATAAGCAATATCTGGTCTGGTGGGGGCCAAGTATATATACTAGCCTTCCAACAACAAGCTAGCTAGTAATATTCCTGTAAACACGGAAATTCCTGAAACGAACGAGACAAGAACACGTGTACAAAATAATTTTTTGTATTAATGATTTAGGGTTACAATCTCTCTCAAATTTGATCCTCTGATTCGATCTCCGTAAGGTGTTGATTTGTGGATGTGCGATTGATCCAAGGGCCATCGAGGCTTGATCTTGGATGAATGTTTGGAAGTTTCTTCAATGGCCGTTGGGGCTTGATCTTGAAGGTCGAGGGAACGGATCTTCAAGGGGCTTTTGGGCTTGATCTTGAAGGTTGATGGATGAACGAGTCTTCAAGGGCTTTTGGGCTTGATCTTGAAGAACAGTGATGAACAGATCTTCAAGGGGCTTTTGGGCTTGATCTTGGAGAACAGTTGGATGTGTGGATTTGTTGATGTTGTTGATCCAAAGGGCCGTTGGGGCTTGATCTTAGGATGAACGGATGATGAACGATGAACACTTTCTTCAAAGGCCGTCGGGGCTTGATCTTGAATTGGTGAAAGTTCTTCAAGGGCCGTCGGGGCTTGATCTTGAAGGAGGATTTGACGAAGAACGAAGAGAGCTTTCTTGATCCTTCGGGATTTGCTTGGGAGCTTTGGAGTTTCAAAGCTTCAAGGTTTTGGTGTGAGGTGAATTGGTTATGAATTGGTCTTGAATTGGTTATGAATTGGTTAATGAACTGGTTCCCCAAAATGAGTGCCTTGGCTTCCTATTTATAGAATTTCAAAACCTGCTTTTTGGATTTAAATAATCAGATGAAATAAATCATTTCTGCCAAGTGTTGACACGTGTCATGTTTGATGACTTTTCTGATGATTCTCGATTTTTTGTTGAGTCACATGCTATGTGTAAAATTTATGTGACACGTGAACGTTGAAATTCAAATTATTGATCAACATTTATTTCACCGAAATTTCGATGTCTACAATTCCTACTCACGTAACTTGTGATTTATCTCAATAGATGTGTTAGTATGTTTACAAGTAAGCATCTCAATCCCTGTGAATAACTCCATCATATACTTTCGCTGAGACAAAAAGATACCTTGTGATTCTGTACAACTCAATCTCCAAAAAATACTTTAAGACTGAGATCATTGATCTCAAATTTGTGAGACAAAATGTCTGTAGTGCAACTTTTTGTACAAAATTATATCGACATAAACGAAGCAGTTCTTGATTTCTTCAATTTGCACAAATGATTCTGTAAATAGATTTCTTAAGCTTTTTATTGATCATCTATCTCTCTTTAAATACAATATAGGGTAATGTATTGTTATCCTATATCACTTTCCAACAGATAGACCAAAAATGTACACATCCCAAAGGAAACAAAATATGTACAAAACGTTTGCATGCTTCGAATGACATGGCAAACGTACACAGGACCACGTTTCTATAGCACCCACATTGCTCAGAACAGAAGACGCGTGTAATGCCATTTACCTCAGCACCTTCATCCATATATCATATATATGCCAACACAAATCTAATTTGGCACTTCCTTTCCTTCTCTTTCTATTGCAATCCGAAATCAAGATATCAAATTAAGCTACTTATATTAGTGTGTTCAAGTTCAACATGGGAGGGCATATTTTTCTTCTCCGCGCCTTCTCATCAAGGTCAAGGTCCACAATTTTGAAGTCATTAGCAGCATGTCATTACACAACCAACCAGGTAAGTTATAGTTTCATCACTAATTTGGTTCATAAATAATGAATGATTGATCCATTGGTTTTAGGTCAAGTAACTAATTAATTGTGTGATAATTGATTTTTGTCTGATTTATTCAATCTTACGATTTTATTTTAGAAAGTATGCGGAGAAATGTGAAAATCACTTGTAGTATTTCAATTCTCCAGTTTATTGTACTATGTCCCAAATTCAAACATAAATTAACGATGCAATTCGAATTAAGAAAAAAAATAACATACGAATCCAAATGTGATAACATTGATTTGGTGGTGATATTTGTACTATGATTGAGTGAATCAATTGGAAATGGAACTCTTTGATCAATGTTGGAATTCGGACTTGATTGCTATGCTATCTGAAATTTCAATTAAGAGGTATAGCAGCCAAGGGAGCAAGGGAGAGCACCACCACGGCCACACAGGTATAGAAGAGAGAGCACCTTCTACGGCTGAGGAGTTCAAGAGAGTGGCGGAGGAGAAGCGGAAGGCGGAGGAGAAGCTGAAGGTGGTGGAGCAAGGTGTGGCCGGCCAGACAGCGGACAAGGCATACGATGGGACAGAGGAAGCTATCTTGGGTGACTCTAACGTTGAATCTGTCAAGAACAGGTACAAGGAACATGAACCCGGGGCTGACTACAGAAGGAGGCCACATGACGACTAAAACAATTTTTTTTTGGGTCTAATTTATGGGTAGTTTGATATTACTGTGTTTTTTTTTTAAAAGAATTGTTTCTATTGTGATGTGAGAATAAATTGCTGTAAAATACAGTTGCTGAGGGTTTGGTAAACATTTTTTTTTGGTAAAAATGTTTTTAACAAAAAAATAATGTTTGAGTAGTTGATAAATTTTTATATAAATTGTTGTGAATATGTGAAATGGCTAAAAATTATATGTATTTAATATGACATAATAATTGTCAAAGAGAATAACGTAGGAGCAATAATTACAATTTTGTAAAATATGAGTACTATGCTTTGATAAAAAAAAACATTTTTTAAGCATGGTGTGGAGTAAAAAATAATTTCAAAAAATGACACGTGAATTTTTGGATAATAATGACAATGGATTTTTGGATAATAATGACAAGATTACTCTTGAGGCACATCGGAATTCTCATGTGCATGCAACAGTCAATAACGGTTTAATTAAGGAAGAGTCAAAGGTGATCAATCATTCCTTATCAATTCCTTATTGATTTTTTTTAAAAGGTAACTCTCAAAACTTCCTATTTAAATTAGGAACAATTACTATGTTAGTTGCAAGATATTATCCTATTTAAATTAGGAACAATTACTATGTTAGTTGCAAGATATTACTTCAGATAATATCTTGCAATTATTCACCTATTACCACCAAATATGGCTGTCCACTCTCCATCCAAAGGGTTGACCACTCTCCTATAAATACATTTTTTATCACACTAAAATGTTAAGTCATTTGTTACTCACAAACTCCTAAATACATTCTTTTCAGAATTCAAACTTTAGCATCGGAGATTCTTCGGCCAAAGCCCATCTCCCCATTCATCGTGGGCATGTAAGCCTTTTGGCCTTAATCTTAGGTGTGATTATTTTGCAAGTGCATTTTCATCAAAGGAGAAGATGGCTGAGTTTTGCATCCACAAATTGGTGCTTTCATTGAAAGTTTGATTCACATGCTCGAAGAAGACTCTTGCATTCAAAGTTTCTCATTTCTCGTTTATGCATAAATTTTTCATACATTCTTGTTCCTAGATTTTTTTAATTCTTTGAATAAATGTACGAGAAAAATACAATGGTGGAAATTCGGAAACCACGACGAACGGAAATTCCTACGTTCAAAGATCTAGATCAAATGATGGAGATTGCGATTAGCTACACCACAATGATCCACGAGACTTAGCGTGGTGGCAGAATGAGTAACTTTGCCACCACGGGGTACCATCACTATGGCAACCACGTTAACCACCATGGCAGTGGGGAGTGGGACAACTCCATAGTAGCAAGGCCACAAAGCAACAATAGCTGCCACCTTGTAGTAACAAGCCTAGGCCCTTGCCACAAGGCAGCCAACCTAGCGCGAGGCATCCTAGATCAAGCAAGCCCACGACGTTGCCATAACAGTTGAGGCCCAAAACACAATCCAAGCAGCTACAACTGAGACATATAGAGCAACCCAACACTTACGAGCCTAAAGCCAGTGCAAACCCAATGCACCCTTGACCCAAGGCTAAGTGGGCCAGACCGCACCGCGCCCAAGCGCCTTGCACGTGGCTTGGCCAACTTTTGTGGCCCAACCAGCTCACGTGGTCCACCTAGCGATCCCGACCGGTCCAAGACCAGTTCAACCATCCTAACTTTAGATTTCTAGACCGACAATTGAACTGGGTGTATTTTCAACCTAATTTTCTGCAGATTTGACATTTCTGTAGACATTGAAATTTCGGTGAAATAAGTATTGACAATTGTATTAAAATTACAACCCTCCATTCATTTCACCTACATCATACACTCACTTCACATACATCATATACTCACCTCACCTACAATACACACTCATCCCACCTACAACATCCACTTACTTCACCAAACAAATGGATGGTGGTGATTCATTCTCAAAGCCTATATCTATAAATAGGCTTCTTTATCAAGCAAAGGAGAGGAATTCACATACATTTTCTCTACTTCCAAATTAGAAGAGAATTCATACCACACCAAAGCCTTGAAGCCTTGAAACTCTAAAGCTCTCAAGCAAATCCCGAATAATCAAGAAAGCCCTCTTCATTCTTCGTCAAAATCCTCCTTCAAGATCAAGCCCCAATGGCCCTTGAAGAAACTTCCACTAATTCAAGATCAAGCCCCGACGGCCCTTTGGTTTAACAACATCAAATCTACCCATTACAAAGATAGAATCAGAGGCTAAATTTGTAGAAGAGATTGTAACCCTTAAATCATTAATACAAAATATTATTTTGTACACGTGTTCTTGTCTCGTTCATCGCAGGAATTCTCATGTTTACAGTATCTCAGCTCAAATTTTTCACCCGGAGTTCACTACACTTCTACCGCTTATGGAGAAACTTACCATCCAAGCTCTTCCATTCCGCGTGGTGAACAACACTTGTCTCTATAAGTCATAGAATTGACGAGCACCTTCGCATAGCAAATGACCTTGGTGAATCAGCTTGTGTAGCGTACCGAGATGTAGCGTGCCTCAGATGAGGTGTCCCAAAACAGGACAAGGGCAGACGATGACCTTCTCCAACAACATCCCGACAAGTAGCCTTTCGATGAGCCACTGATGGGAAAATTAACTTAACACACAAATTAAACCCTCTTTTGACAGTTGTAGTATATGTATAAGTAGGGATCGTTCTGGACCGGGGATTAGGAGGGCTTGCTAATAACCTCTAAACTGACTTAAAAACATAAAACTAAACTTAAAACACTTAACAAGACTCACAAGACTCAAAGCAAACTTGAAATACTTAAAACAGCTTAAAACAACCAATTAAACTTAAACTAGACACTAGGAATTACTTTGGACGAAAATTGACTTTTACTTGAATCAAAACACTTAAAAATACAAACTAAAACATATTCTAACTAATTAGACACACTAAAGTAAAGGGGGATTGAGTTTTGGACGAAGTTGAAACAAACAAACAAGTATGAAAACTAGACAGATTGTAAAACGAATTTGAGAAATAAGATGATGGATGAGATAGCTAGCTAGAGGCTCGTTCTCCACACATGACATGTATGCAAACGAATCAATTTCCAGTTACTCCTTCATTGAATTATAAACGACAATGTCCCAAATTAACCATGATATCACTAGTTAACCCTCAAATTTTCCTTGTATTATTGGATTGGATGACATCATTCAACAACCCAAAACATTCTTCAAAAGTTCTCTACATGACATCATAATAGAGATACAATCAAAGATCATTACTTTTAATGAAAATCATAAGCATTGACCAAACACTTGCAACTATGACATCATGTCACTCATGCTAGGAATTAAACTTAACGAGATCGTTTATAAGCGACCTCCACTACTTGTAAATATAAGTTTGTAACGATTATGTGAAACTTTCTTATATTCTAGCAACGGATTTATGCATGCCAATTAAGTGTCGACCTTTAATCAACAAATACAAATAAGTTATCAATCAAATAGTTAAGCCAATTGCATTCACGATTCAAGAACTCATAACTGGAGTTTATTAACTCAAATTGCACACATAATCATGGCTTTGAAATCACCCATAGCCAAGAGGGGTTTAGCCACTCATGTTCACAACAAAACGAAAGAAAATGAATTTAAACATTGGAAACAAAAGAAAGAAAACACCTAAACGCTCCAACGATCCAAGTTGAACAACAAGCATGTCCAAGCACTTTCTTTCCCTTCCTTTGCTACGGCACAAGGTGTTGGTGAGTGTTTGAAGGTTTGTTTGTATGGAGGTATGAATGTGAAGATGAATGGATGTGTTTGGATGAAGGTTGTATTGAAATGGGGATGAATGATCAAGCAAAAACTCTACTATATGGCTGCCACACACACTTCCTTTTATAAAGGGAGTGCACGACATGGAGGGATAAATGGTGGTGTGTGCAATGATTCAAGGGTGAAAGTGAAGTAATGATGCAAAACATGGGGGGTAAAATGGAGTGGTGTTGCAGCAATGAGTGTATGGAGTGGTGTTGAAATGATTCAAAGGTGAAAGTGAAGTGATGATGCAAAGCATGAAGGGTAAAATGGAGTGGTATTGTAGCTATGAATGCAAGTAGGGAACATGAATGATTGTGCATATGGTAGAGAAAGGAAAGGGATGTGGAATGGTGCAGAAATGAGTCAAAGGTGTAGTAAGAGTCATGATGCACGGCATGGGAGTCCAAATGTGGTGGATGGTGCATCAATGAGTGCATGTAGTGGAGGTAAAAGTGCATGAAATCTGATGGGTGAAGGGGACAAGGGATGTGCAGCAATTGAGTGCAATGATTCAATGTAATGGTGCATGCAAACAGAAATAATGAAGGGGACAAGGGTGGTGCACGGCAAGGAGGGATAGTGAGTGTAATGGTGCATGAAATGAGTGCAAGAAATCTGATGCATGAAGGGGACAAGGGTGATTATGCATGTGATGGGTGGAAAGGTGAGTAAGTGGTGAATCAATGAGTGCAATGAGGTGAAATGATATTGTGCACATGGTAGACAAAGGAAAGGAAGTGGAATGGTGCAGCAAATGAGTGCAAGGAGGGAACATGGATGAATGTGCACGGCATGAGTGGAAATTGGAGTGATTTATGGCAGAAAATAGACAAGGGATGGCTTCCTTACACGGCAAGGAAGAGAAATAGTGAAGGATGGTATGACTTGGACTTTTAAGCCAGGTTTAGGACTTGTAGAACATGTAATGAAATGTCCCAAAGTATTTAGGAACCCTTCGTGTGATTGAATCTTTGGTAATTTAGGATTAGGAAAGGTAACGACAAGATAAGGCAAGTTTGACTAGTCTTTCCTCATTCTTAATGGTTTCCTTGTCTTCCTTGGTCCTCAATTTATTTTCTTCCTCTCCTTGGCACATTCCTAGCTTCTTTAGATCTTTAATTTTGTCCAACCACTTTGCTCCATGCATGTGATATCCATTCCATGCCCAAAACTGCTCCAAAAGGCACCAAAATGCACTTCTTTGCCTATTTAACCTACAACCACACAAAAATGGCTTGAAATACTAAATCAACTAAGAAATAACAACATAAATGCACAAGAACAAGCTAACTAAGTCGC